ACTTAAAACAGTCTTGAATAATGCTAATTCTCTCTTCGCTCCCCCCACCCATACCTCTCTTCTCTCTTTTAAAGTCTTTGAGGAAAGATTTTGACGTATCCGTGTTGTGATCAGATTGATGGGCCGGGTTTGATTGAAGTGCCTTTGTCATGCAAATGTCAGCCGTGTGATGGATGAGCGCAGAGATCTGACAAACTTCGGGAGGTCCCAGCTCATTGGGCCCGAGGCGGACCACGTGGTCGCGGGTCCCCAGCCCAACCCACCCACTCCCCACCCCCCCAACCCTTTCTGGAGGCGCTGGGGGTTCGGAGCCGTGCGATGCATGGCTGGAAGTTTTACAGCTTTTGACATACTATCTAAAGGTTGTAGGGCAGGCGGGATCCCCCCAAAACAGGTTGACCCTCCTCCATCAGTGGCAGATGGACAATAGTAGGATGAACTCCTTCTTAGAGTATGCAATTTGTAACCGTGGGACGAGCGCCTACTCGCCCAAGGGCTACCACCACTTAGAGCAAGGCACAGCTTCCTTCCCTGCCTGCTCAGGTACCCCTGCCAGTGACAGCTACCACGGAGATGGGCGCCTGGGAGCAGGGGGGAGCACAGCTGCGCCCAGCCACCTCCCCCAGCAGAGCCCTGGCTACCACCCCACGCCCTCCTCTGGCCTTGCCATCCCCTTCCCGGGCGCTGCCTCCGCAGGGTACCCGCCCCAAGCCTACAACCCGAGCTACGGGCATCCCCACTTCTACCTCGGCCAACAGGACGCGGATGGTGCCTACTTCCAGGCACCGGGGTATGGCCTCAACGCCGGATCTAACCTCAGCTCCTTGCCAGAGGGCTACTGCGGGGCAGTGGCTGCCCCCGGGCAGTACCAGCAGCACTCGTATGGGCAGGAGCAGCCAGGCTACTTGCCGGGGGCTTACAGCGGCCTCTCGCCTTCTCTAAACGAAAGCAAGGACCACGCGTGCCCATCCGAGCAGTGCCCCACCACCAGCGCCACGCAGACCTTCGACTGGATGAGAGTGAAGCGGAATCCCCCCAAGACAGGTGGGTCTATAGCATCCTCTCCATCCAACGGGTGGGGGCAGAGGCTTGGAGGGGTTTCCCCCGAGGGAGGGAGGTCGAACCCCGGGGTAACAAGGGGTGGTGCACAGCAGCAGAGCCCGGCGCTGGAAATACGCATCCGAAGCAGCGAATCGCCCTTGCAGGCCCAGACTTTGTCTGTGGTAGGAAATGATCCGGGTTTCCTGCCCCTCTTCCATTGCCCTCATTCTTCAGCTTCCTTCCCTGCGTGTCTCCTCAGCCCTCCCTCCCCCAGAACACCCCTGGAAAAGTCTCCTAAAAGTCTCCAGCTCAGGCGGACCCTGGGGCCGGCTGGAAAGAGGGCTCTTTGGAAAGGACCAAGTGATGGGTCCTAAGGGTGGCTCGGGGGCAGGGCAGGTTCTTGGGATGGAGGGTGGCTGGCTGATGGATGCAGGGAGCTGGAGAGCCTTGCAAAGCAGTCCCCCCCCCCCCC